TGATGAAAAGAGAGAGGCGCGAGACGTTATAAATCGGCAAACAATAGTTCTCCATAGCAAAATTAGTGATGCTATGGCCTGCGTCAAACCAATTTTGGCTAGTACGAGCGCGGTTCCGTCTGTTGGGCTTAATCCACTTGGTGAAGTAGTCGAATGGTGATGGATGCAAGAAATTTTGCATGCCCAGAAGGCTATAAGCAGAGCCAGAACTCTCAGCAAGACGAGTGCTAGGATCCGCTGTAATGAGGCGCACGAGCACTGGGTCCGCACGCGAGAGGTGACGGCGTATGGGCAGAATTAAGGCGGGGCTCAGAGTGGGGTCCGTCCCACCAACGGTCAGCCTCTGGAATTCATTGTTTTGGCTGGGCCAGCCGGGCCGGGGCCCGGTCAAAAATGACTGTTTTGGCCGGGCCGGCCCAGCCATAACGGCCAAAACGTGCGTTTTGACCGTTTCGCCCCTAAAAACGGTCAAAAATAGCTAGAATATGAGGGTTTTTTGATCATTTTCCTAGGAGGCTGCATCTATAAATAGAGGGGGGTTTTCACTTCTTCTCCTCACACAAAAACTCATTTACTTCTCTAATACTCTCTTATACAATCTTATACTCTCTTATAATCTCTTATATTATCTAATACTTCCATCAAATGGCTTCTGGATCTAATTATGAAGAGCAAAACCTATCTCCTACCGATCCAGAAATGAGTCCTCCTACAACAACTACTCCTCCTACTGTTGTTAATCCTGACTCTGATGGCGACGAATCTGCACCAAGAGCTCCTAAAAGGTCGAGATCCAATGTGTAGAAATTTTTTGAGAAGATAGACGTCACCAAGGATGAACACGGTAGGATCATCGCCCAGAAGGCTAAATGTGCGTTGTGCGGCCAGACTTTCCAAGCTCATCATAAGAGCGGCACCAACCACCTCAAATGCCATATAGAAAAACACATGCCAGAATCCTCAAGGTAATAGTTTTTTCCCCTTTTTAACAAAAAAAAAAATTAAAAAAAATTTAAAAAAACCAAAAAAACCGGATCATTTACTTCTCTAATACTCTCTTATACAATCTTATACTCTCTTATAATCTCTTATATTATCTAATACTTCCATCAAATGGCTTCTGGATCTAATTATGAAGAGCAAAACCTATCTCCTACCGATCCAGAAATGAGTCCTCCTACAACAACTACTCCTCCTACTGTTGTTAATCCTGACTCTGATGGCGACGAATCTGCACCAAGAGCTCCTAAAAGGTCGAGATCCAATGTGTAGAAATTTTTTGAGAAGATAGACGTCACCAAGGATGAACACGGTAGGATCATCGCCCAGAAGGCTAAATGTGCGTTGTGCGGCCAGACTTTCCAAGCTCATCATAAGAGCGGCACCAACCACCTCAAATGCCATATAGAAAAACACATGCCAGAATCCTCAAGGTAATAGTTTTTTCCCCTTTTTAACAAAAAAAAAAATTAAAAAAAATTTAAAAAAACCAAAAAAACCGGACCTGCCCGGAGCCCAGCCCGCTCAGACCGGGACATGGGCCCAGACACGACCCGGGCCAACCGGGCCCGAGTCCGGGCTTCGGTTTGCCCGGCCCAGATGGACAGCCCTAAATCTGGAGACTAACTATTCCCAAGTAGGGGTGGAAATGAACTAAATAATTAACAAATAGTTCGAGTAACTATTCGGTCATATTCGATTCGGTAGTTCATTTACCACTCAACAAATATTTTTTAGTATTCGAGTTTACTAACGAATAGAATTTAACCAGTTTTATATTTGATTCGTTTGTCTATCAAATATCCGTTTATAATTTGATCACCTATTATTTGTATTATTGCATATATGATGTTATATTTTGACCTAGTTTTGACTTTTGAGGGAGGGGGCAATTTTAGGGTTTTAGAGCAATTTTAGGTTTTTAAAGGGCGGATTCGTCTTTCCTTGTTGAGCAACAGTATAAGATATTAGGTTAAACGGGTATTTACATATTAGTACCTCATATCTTCAAATAAGGGGGGATAAGAGGGCTTTGTCTGCGTGCATAAATTACCCGACTCCTATTCAGACTAGACATTTCTTTAGACCAGATACTTCTTTGTTTGAGATTATTAGATTTTCTATATATACTAGTAAGGTGGGCACGTGCAATGCACATGACGGCTTTAAATTGGGCAGTATCTTTTTTTTTTTCGGATAGTATTTTTGGAATTATCAACTTTTCTCCTCCACACTACCTACATGTCACGTAGTAATTCATATAAAATAAAGCTATAATCAAAGATAAAATTGCATATTGTTTCATGACTCAATGAGAGAAAATCTTACTTTTGCCCGTTAAAGCAAACGATGCATCAATTGGCTTGAGATATATTAGAAAAAAAATATAAAATTAATGTGCCCAACACAACTACATAAATAGACTGCCCAAAAAAGCTTCTGTCCAAAATTCTTCCAAAAGTCAGAAGAGTCATGCCTGCTACATGTTTTTAAGCTCATCTACGAGAGTAGTAACCATATACTGTTGTACGGTCTTGTAACACCCTGGGAATTTGCAACTTTTTGAGGCAAATGAAGTTTTCTTGGTCGCTCAAACATTACTGAGAGAGATGGTATATATGCCGACTTTTCCCTTCCTGTTGCATGCTGTTGATGGAGATGTTTTTTTTTTGGCATTTGTCTTGAAGATGGTAGTAACTATGACACCGGTAGTATCTTTGAGATGTACCGTGAAGCGGCTTCTGTCGAAAGAAGTGCAAAAAGGAGGATTTATTTCAATAGTAAGTCAATATTCTTCAAAGAAAATAAAGCTGCAGATGTAGGCTTGGCATCGCGCCGTCGTAAAGACGAAGCATAACCTGGCACTAACGTGGTAGATGAAGCTGATTTTAGACAAATTTTTTTAAAAATTGGTCGCTACTTGAGAAATACTTGTAGGTCAATCTTAAGTGAGTGATACAGGTAATAGCATTTGTCAGGCCCAAACCAATATTCAGCATACTCCCTATCTTTACATATGTACACAAAAAAATTTGAAGGAAGCATATGAAATCAACCATTTGCTCGAATTAAAACTATAAGAGATGATTTCTTAGAAAGGAGTAGGTAATATAGTACCAGGCCAAGGGATTGTTCGCTATCCTGATAATTGATGAAAAGGACCAAGACTCCTTTTCGATTAAGTTCACAGCAGACAATTCAGCTATAGGATACCGTAAATTTGTCAACGAAAAAATTACTTCGACGAGCAAGTTGGTGATTATGAATATTACATAAAAATTTTATGGACATACGGTCTTCTGTTTGAGAATGATCTTGGATACATACTTCCATTTTAATTACTTTTCCTTCTCTCCAGGGTGGCACATTGAAACTTTTTCATCCTGATAACATAGGAGAAATTACCTTTAGTTTTTATACATAGACCATGTTGTATAAGCTCAATGAATAAAGCACAAGCATGAAGAAACTAACAAATGAGGTGCATTATAAAAATGAAATGATTGTCATTCTTGATTTCGTCAGATCTTACAGCTCAATCAGTATATGTAGCCTGTTCGTAAAAATTGAGTTGCCAAAAAGTTCTCATGTTGGGTCTCAACCATTCAATCCATCAAGCAAAGCAACTCTAGAAGAGAGCATTAGATTCCATCAAATAATAAAGCTAAAATTCAAAAGAAATTGCTAGGAAAAAAAATCAAATTTCTTATATAACAGTTTTTTAGATTACACAAATACAACTTAGTGATAGTAACCGTGGACAGATTGGAAGGATAAGTCTTGGGCTTTCTCTTCTTCCATATTTCAGATGATGAGCATCCTTCTTTAAGGAGACAATGGCCCATACAAGAGAAATAATTAAATTTGCACATATGAAGAAATTTTGAAAACAAAAGAGGAGAATTGGAAATTATTCTGCATTAGTAGCAAAGAGTTTTTTTTTTATGTAAATAGGTCAATATCCAGCCTGAATAGTGATGACTTTCTATTTTCTTTGACCGCAGAGCCTTGAGTCTTAGACCATAACTTAATTGAAGAGAACAAAAAATAATTTCCCCAAATTCTACACAAGAAGACAACGAAATTGTAAATGAGCTATTAATTATGTGTGAAGAGAAAACAAGGAAAGCCGAAGTAAAATATTGTCCACATTGAGAATAGAGATTAATGAAATTGATTCCACATGTCCCTGTTTTCACAATTACTCCATACTTCTCACAGAAAAATTTAAGCAAAAAGAATCTCTGACAACCAAAATAGCTTGAAATCAAAATTGCACACAATCATACCCTCTATATATTTCTGCTGCAAATTCTTAGCTAATGTCAGAAAATACATTCATGAAGCTAATAATATTATATTGGAAATCATTTCAAAAGAACAAAAACTAATGCAGTAGAGTCATATTTAAAAATTCCAAGAAAATTAGCCCTATTCAGAATATGCTCTTTGATGTCATTAACCCAAAGCTCTGCTCACGAACATTAAGGGATGAAAATGCAAGTACAACTCATATTAGAACTCCTCACTATAAAACAAAGTAAATAGTAGAAAATTAACAAAACTACCCAAATCATGAAATGGGTATACCAAAAGTTTGAAGAAGAACAAACCTGCTCAATTCCTCTATCCAATGGAGCTCTCGTCGTAGATTTCTCAGCCATCTTCTTGGAGGAAACACTGAGTGAGGAAGGGGTGGTTGGTGGCTTCGCCCTCAAACTTGAGGTGGTTGGTGTTTCAACAGCTCAAACCCACAATTTCACATAAAGATAAACTTGAGTACCTCCACAGTGGCATCCGCCTCCGCGAGCAGGTTCTCTCCTGCGACTCCTCTCTCCCACCTCCACCACTCCCACTCCTTCCTCTCCACCCTCCGTTCCTCCTCCTCCCTCCTCTGGCCCCAATCATTTTGGTATTTCATCAACTTCCATGATCTTGCTCATTCTGTATGCCTCAAGTTGATAAAATCCAAGAATCCATCAATTTCCTAATTGTTCAATATCAGAGTGCTCGATTATCGAAATGGATAATGCACCACATCCATAGAGTTAATACCAGGTTCCCTAACAACTTGTCCCATGTCGGTTCGCGGTTAAGCTTCGGGTATTGTAGCAGACTGCACTTCAAACACGACAGGCTGCACTTCAAACACGACAGGCTCCACGTATGTGTACAGATTTGCAGGTAGTGCAATAACCTTTCTTTCAAACTCCTCATCCCCCACTTGCCTTTCTGTATCGTAGTCATCAGCAAGAGACTGTATGTAGCGTGGTGGTTCCTCCTCATCAGGGCCGATTAGATTTTTTGTTTTGCTTCCACCTCCAGTCGCATAGTGTTCGTTACAACCTTCATTGATATATATTGATTGATTTTCTACCAGATTATAGCCTAATATGGCATCTCAGTGCCATATAGTACTCAAGTTTATCTTCGGGCCATTCCTCTACAGAGTTGAAATGGAAAACCAAGGAAAGAGTAGACATTGGTTCTGAAAAGCCGCAGCTTTGTGAACATGAAGGTCGTAACGAACACTATGCGACTGGAGGTGGAAGCGGAACAAAAAATTTGATCGGCCCTGATGAGAAGGAACCACCACACTACATACAGTCTCTTGCTGATGAGTACGATGCAGAAAGGCAGCTGGGGGATGATGAGTTTGAAAGAAAGGTTGTTGCACTATCTGCAGATCTGTACACATACGTGGAGCATGTCGTGTTTGAAGTGCAACCTGCTGCGATACCCGAAGCTCAACTGCGAACCAACACGAGAGAAGTTGTTAGGGGACCTAGAATTAACTCTATGGATGGGGTGCATTATCCAGTTTCGGTAACCGAGCACTTTGAGTGAATCTAGATCGTCCATTTCCAGATCTTGATCAGTTAACATCACCTCTCGCCAGAGCTAATTTTCCAGCCTTTTTCTTAGGAACGGCGACGCCAAATCCATCGCACCTCACCTCGATTCCAATCCTCTTCGTCTTCCACCCTTCGATCTTAATCCTAGACCTAGTTTCAAGATCGATCGCCAACGGCAGCTTGCTCTTCCGCCGCCGCCGACGAATCCAAGCTCTTATCTTTTGCTCGACACCACGGCCATCATCACCGTGGTGTTCTTCGCCCCGTGGACGAACGCTGGGAAAGATCCGCCGCCGAAGGCGACGCCATCGGATCGCCAACGGCAGCTTGCTCTTCCGCCGCCGCCGACGAATCCAAGCTCTTATCTTTTGCTCGACACCACGGCCATCATCACCGTGGTGTTCTTCGCCCCGTGGACGAACGCTGGGAAAGATCCGCCGCCGAAGGCGACGCCATCGGAGGAAACGGCGATCGAGATAGGATCATAGAGGAAGGAGATTTTTCTGTTACGGTTTTGAGCGGTGACGACGAGATACAATAGCGAGGTTTATCCAAGAGACGGTGAAGGTGGGGTGAGTAGGGTGGTAGAGGACGTAGAAGACGTCGCCAGCGATGGCGTCGAGAAAGATGAGGCCGATGAGGGCGAGAGTCAAGCAGAGGATATTTCCGGTGGTAGCAGAATCTCCGGCGAGATAGCCGACAAAGGGCAGGGGCTGTAGGCGGCTCGGTCGGAGGTTTGGGACTTGGTGGCAGTAAAGACGGCGGTGACGACGAAGGGAGGGTGGGGGATTGTCTTGGCTGATGGATATATTCGATCTGTCACTGCTCGAATTGTATGAGAGAGAGAGAGAGGGGGGGAGGATTTAGCCTGAGAAGCACTTTTGAGGGAGAGGATTTAGCCTGAGGAGCACTTTTTAGGCTCGATCATCTTGTTCTGAGGCCTGACATGGGCCCCTCAAATCTTCCACAGTGTGACTGCAGTCCCAAATCTTCCCTGAATCATTGAAATCGCTAACAGACCTATCCAATTATATCGGTAATTTCAATTTGATCCCCCTAGTTAACTTATCTTTTAGATATAAGGAGAATATTTCCTCAAATCTAATTTCTTTTTCTTTTCTTTTTTTGCTTTGATAGGGTAATTAAAGAAGATCCCGTTCTTTAAATTCTCAACTATGATAGTGATTTTCCAATACAATGATAGATCTTATGATTTAAATTTTATTTAGGGCAAATCAATCTATTCAGCAAGCACCTAAACCTGTTAGGGAGCTTCGTTGAAAAAATGTAAATACATAAATAAAAATCCCTCAAGGGATCACCACATAAAATAATCCAACAGTAGCATCATGCAAACATTTGAAAAGGGCATGTATATCGCACTCAATTTATAAGTACATGCTATATTTGTTAAGTTATCTTCGCACCTCACCACAAATGTCATCTCTATAAATATAGCTTTCAAATATAACAGTTATTTATGCTTCAAAGAGAAGTATTACAGTATAAAATAGAGCATGAAATTTTGTTCATAATAGTGTGAGTCCAAGGTATAACACCTGGAAACAAATTTATAAAATCTTTTGGAGTTATGAAATATTTAGAAATATTTGAGTTTTTCCTAAATTAAATTAATTTCAATAGATCTAGCATGCTATTGAAAAGCCATAGTTGTGGAAATCCCGTACATCATTTTTTAACCTTTAAAACTAAGATTGATGGTGAGGATTTAAAGAATTGGATCACCTCCAATTACCATCTCACTGGAGAGGATCTGAATCCTACAATTTATATCCCTCACCTATGTTTAACCGCCTATTTTCTTGACGAGGTTAAACCTAAAACCCCAAACATAAAAATCCAAATAACACCTGCTTCATCTTCTCCAACGGTGATAGCCTTCCACCCATTTTGCATCTTTCCTCATGATCTTCTCTTAAAAAAAGGATAATTATAAGGCATTTTGGTAAGTGATTGTGTTGGTTTAAAAAATTGCCAAATTGGTAGTGAATTCGTGCGCTAAGTGGCAAAATGTGCATATGACAAAAAATACATTAACTTGTTGTAGTTGTAAAAGGAACGGATGACTTGTAAATTTTTATTTTGAGTTAATCTCAGAAAATCCCTCAACTGTAAGAGTTATCTTAGAAATAATTAAATATTTTAATTCGAGAAACCCTCTCGATGTGTGGTGGTGTCGTTAATATCCCCTCTTAATCTTGAAAATTTGAGTTACTGTAGGATGTCTCACAAAGTCTAGTGATCTTCACATTATTCTCAGCAAACTTCTCGAGGTCGTTACTACAAAGTGTGAAATGCTCTAAATATTCTTTGGGGAAAAACAAGCTCAATTAAACTAACAAGAGCCTCCCATCCACTAAAGAAAAGTAGTTTTCTCATTGCCCGGAAAAAGATACTATATGGCATGGATCTTTTTTTTTTTGTTGCTGCTATTGTTGTTGTTGAAAGAATGGCATAGGTAAAATTTGCTAAAAGAATTGGAATTTTAGTACTTGACATTATAATTGCAAAAAATTATTTTCGTAAGTGAGGCTAAACAATAAACAATTGTAATGATAACTATAACACCGGTTGCTAATTGCAATTTAATATAAGTAAATGAGATTCTCTAAACTAGGACTACAATTTGTATGCATATCTAATCTCAACCTGACGACATTACAATGAAACAACTTTCTTTGGTAATTCTAAGTTGATCAGTAGAAAGCTAGAACAAATTTGTAGCTCATTAGATAAGTAGGAATACTAGAATAAATATCTATATTAATCTCAATCTGCCTATATATTACAATGGGCCAAACTTTCTTTGGTAATTCTAAGTTGATTAGTGCCTTTAGCGTTAACTAGACCTTAATTCTAAGACTTTGTTTATTTGATTAGTTTCTAGTATCTAAATATAAGCTTAGTATATTTATTTAAAAAAGAATAAAGGAAAAAGGGGCTTATTTGAGCAAGGAAAAGTTGTTTAGAACTTATCCAGATGAGAAAAAACTTCTACCAGATTCCCTTTGACTCGCAATGATGACATTCAATCTAAAATTTGAATTCGGTCTCAAGTAGGATTTGAATTTTTGTCATTTCTTATTCTTAAAGGCCCAAGTAGAATCCGGCCCAATTCCACCTTACAACCGGACATAGTATCTACTAAACAGTCAATCGGCCCAACAACAAAGGAGAAAAATTAAATCAAATCAAATAATGACGTAGGTTCACGTCCGTACGATTTGAATAAAGCTCAGCTGGCGGACTTCATATTATTCTCAAACTCAAGTTCAAGCTCTCCCCTTCTACCTCTCTCCTCAAATCTGCCGTTTTCCGCCCTGAATTTCTAATTCTAAGCCATACCCACCTCGAGATTGCTTGAAAGCTTTAGTGGGTCGTTGGCCATTTCATCAATTGGCCTTGGATTCTTCAAAGTTCTACACCCTCACGTACAAGACTCTGTTTTCTTAATCATAGTTTCCCTTCTTCATTTAGAATTATCTCCTGTTAATTATGTCTACAAATTGCTTAAGATGATGTATCTTGTAATAAATTTAGCATTTTCAGGATTTTCTTATTTTCGTGTATAATTAGGAGTGGGTTTTATCTCTGGTATCATGGGGTTCTGTGTTTCATATGAATTTTCCATTTATAATTCTCTAATAAAAATTTGAAGTGGACCAACCTACCAAGTCATCAAACTTTGTAGTGGGTTCTCTCTCTTTTGAGAAATTGAGTACCAGACTTGATTCTTCTTGAGTTTTCTCTCCTGTATAATGGGGTTCTGTGTTTCATATGAATTTTCCATTTATAATTCTCTAATAAAAATCTGAAGTCTACCCACCTACCAAGTCATCAAGCTTTGTAGTGGGTTCTCTCTTTTGAGAAATTGAGTACCAGACTTTGTTCTTCTTGAGTTTTCTCTCCTGTATAATAGGGCTCTGTGTTTCATATGAATTTTCCATTTATAATCCTCTAATAAAAATCTGAAGTTCACCCACCTCCCAAAGCATCAAACTTTGTAGTGGGTTCTCTTTCTTTTGAGAGATAAGAGTACTAGACTTTGGTGTTTTTGTTGGGTTTTCTCTAAATTGCTTTAGGCTGGGTATTGTAGTTGTGTAAATTCCTGTGTTTCAACCCTTAATTCTGTCGTTTTTTCATTCTTTTTATTATGAATTTGTCATTTGGGATAATGCTTCATTAGGAATATTTGATGTTTGTAGATTTGTGATATTGTTGATGGTGGTGGTGATGATGATGATTCCAATCAATCTTTATTCTTTTCTAAATTTATTGCAGTTTGCGTGAATCATCATCTGTGTGCCCCTAATTCATGTTGTTTTTGGCATTTTGCCTATGAGAATTGTGATTACTAAAAGGCGCTAATTTTTTCCCTTATTCTTTTGTTTAAACATCAAAGAATGATTTCCTAAACGTCTTTTCTGGTTCTTTCTTGTGAATTTAAAGTATAGATGACTAGCTCCAGAATATTAGCTCCTTTTTGGAAAGAGTTAATCATCTAGTTGATGGATACGGGTTAAATTTCTCTTTGTTGTGCAGTATTTTGAACTGTTGATGTCAGGTATGTGTTGGGTTTCTTTCGTCATTTTGGTTGGGTTAGTACATTGTATCTGTTTTATAGGTATGTGTTGGGTTTCTTTCGTCATTTTGGTTGGGTTAGTATTTTGAACTGTTGATGTCAGGTATGTGTTGGGTTTCTTTCGTCATTTTGGTTGGGTTAGTACATTGTATCTGTTTTATAGGTGTGGAGGTGCAATACTAAATATTGTTCTAATGAGTTTCGATTTTGTTCTTTTTATGAGAAATTCGAACTGTGGGTCTGATGAGGTTTATCCTTCTTATTGTGTCCTTTGCAATTAGAATTAGACAACAAGTTTCCAGCAGTAGCATAAATCAGTTGCCAGGAAAGATTGGATTGCTACAGGTAATGTAAACTTTATCTTCGAATTAGTAATGCCAGTTGTGTTTGGATATATGTTTTATTATCGTCTATAATATATAATATACTTTGGATCCTGGTACCTGAATTTGTCTGTTATTTGCTTCTTATGTCACTCTGCTTTATTAGAAAATGTCATTGATAACACTTGCTTCTCACATGCTTTCTGAATTCGCCCATGTTGATAGTTGATGTTAGCATCACTTTGCTTAACTTATAACCTCACATCTTGAATTCTGTTAGTTAGGCTTGTGTTTCTATTGGAATTTGAATGGGGTTGTCTGAGTTTTACTCATAATAGATTGCTAGTTTAATATATCAGTACTATATTTATGTAAACATTGATAGATATTGATTGATTTTCTACCAGATTATAGCCTAATTTGGCATCTCAGTGCCATATAGTACTAAGTTTATCTTAGGACCTTTCCTCAACAAAGTTGAAATGGAAAACCAATGAAAGAGTAAAGACATTGGTCCTGAAAAGCCGCAGCTTCGTGAACATGAAGGTCGTAACGAACACTATGTGACTGGAGGTGGAAGCGAAACAAAAAATCTAATCGGCCCTGATGAGGAGGTACCACCACGCTACGTACAGTCTCTTGCTGATGAGTACGATGCAGAAAGGTAGCTAGGGGATGAGGAGTTTGAAAGAAAAGTTGTTGCACTCAATGTTTTAAATATCGGATGTCGGGTTCATGTCGGTCGGCCAAAATTCATGTCGGATAGCGGAAATCGGGGATATATCGGGGGACATGAAAAAAATATCGGATTGCCATATCGGTTAGGTTAATATCACATACTTGATAATTATATTGCCTAAACATATGAAAAAGTACATAACTTAAAACCAATTACATAGTTACAATTCAATCAAATAATTGTGCATCATGATTCATGCATGTAAATAACAGAAATTTCTTTTTCCTCTTTGTTAAATGCTAACAACAATTTAAATTTGTTGCATTTCAATTTTATAATTCAATTACTAACTTCAAATTAATTTTATTTGACATTTATTTGACAGGGGAAAACTGAAAAGAAGGGGGAAATTAAAAAGATTGAAGGGGAAAACTGAAATTTTACAGATTTTGATGAAGTTTTTAGCAGTCACCAGCAGATTCGGCACAAACTGAAGCTACAGGGGGAAAAAATCAAGTTAGCAGTCAACAACAGAAGCTAACTGTAAATATCTCCTATGCATTAGGATTTGAATTTGTTACATTTTAATCACAGATAATTCAATTACTAACTTCAAATTAATTTTATTGACAGGGAAAAGATTCAAGAGGGAGACTTACCTGATTTTGAGAAAAAAATCAATAATTCCTTTTACTTAGCAGTCAGCAACTTAACAGTCAACAGCAGGAAATAATCCCTTTTATTAAAGTCTGAAAAAATGTTAAAAAAATGTAAACAGATTTGTGAAAAAAAGAACCTTAGCAGTTAATGTAAAAAAATGTGAAGAGAGAGAGAGAACATGTGCGATTCTGAAAAAGGGAACCGGAGGCTTACCTGTGACGTTTGAAGCTAGCGATGACGAAGACGAGAAGGTTCGATGGCTTCGGCTTCAGATTTCAACGACGAAGACGAGAAGGTTCTTCGAAAATGCGGCTTTCAAGGACGAAGACGAGAAGGCTTCAAGGACGAAGTCAAGGCGGCTCAAAGTCGACGAAGACGAGAAAGCTTCATGCTGCTTCGATGGTGCTGGGTTCGTTTTTCAACGACGAAGACGAAGACGAGAAGGTGGCTTGACTTCGCTCGGTTTTCAACGACGAAGACGAGAGAACCCTAGGGTTTTTTCAACGACGACGAAGACAAGAGAAGGCTGCTGGGTTCGAAGTTTCGAACTGAGCCCTAGGGTTTTCTCCTTTTTGTATTTGATCGGGTCTATTATCGGGTTCGAACTGAGCCCAATGAATCAAACCAAACCTAATATCATGAACCGATAATCATAAAAATCGGCCGATTTTTGCAAAGTGAAATATCGGCCGAAATATCCGATTTTTAGCCGATATATCCGATTTTTAGCCGAAAAACGCCATCCGACTTTATTTATCCCGATTCGTGTCGCTTGCCCACTCAAACCGCAATATCGACCGACATGTCGGTCGATATTTAAAACACTGGTTACACTACCTGCAGATCTGTACACATACATGGAGCCTCTCGTGTTTGAAGTGCAGCCTGCTATAATACCCGAAGCTCAACTGCGAACCAACATGGGACAAGTTGTTAGGGGACCTAGTATTAACTCTATGGATGGGGTGCATTATCCAAGCATCAACCCGATGACCACAATCCAGATCAATGTCATTCAAGACCTTGTTCCTCACATCATCGGCAAACACGGGTGTCACTCAAAATTCATATGCAAAGTTGCTCATGCAAGTCTGTACATCAGCACGGAGCCCAGTAGGATGAAGATGATCACCATTGCAGGGGATACAGAGAAGCAAGCACGGTAGCTCACATGGTGTGGTGGGAAATAAGACACATGGTCTGTGGGCATCGATGATTCAAAGGTGGAAACACTGATGGACATCATACTGTCAGGCTCACTTTCTCATGGGAGTTACAGAGATCTAATTGCACATAATTTCATATAGTTCATCTGAGAGTAGCTCTTTACATACTTGCATCTACTTATGTTTGCAACTACAGGAGTCACATGTTGTTGGGAGGTCAGCAGACATTCTTTTTTGCTCATACTAGCTACGTGTTTTGTTCATATGTTGACACTTTGAACTGTTTTAGCTTTTGTCTAGATTCCACTTGTTCATGTTGTGATTTATAATTACAAAGAATTGTCCTTAATAGTTACAAACTATTGTTAAACAACAGCAATTGAAAAATAATGTCGCGGGTTTTCTGCTTTGGTTGTGCATATTCTGATGAAAATAGTTCTATATAGTATAATCTATATCTAATTATGGTATGGCTGAATACATGCTATATAGCATATATTCCTTCTACACTGGTGCAGGTTTCTCACTAGCTGGTCATACCTGGCACATGCTTTAATGAATTAGTCGAGAACAATGGGCACAAACGTTATTGGGACAATGAAACAACTCTAATGGAAGCTTGTTTCGTGCAGCTTCTGTTTCATAAAATTATGTCCTGTTCTCGACTAATTCATTAAAGCATGCGCTAGGAATGACCAGCTAGTGAGAAAATTACACCAGCACAGAAGGAATATATGCTATATAGTAAGTATTCAACCATACCATAATCAGATATAGATTATACTATATAAAACTGTTTTCATCAGAATATGCATAGCCTAAGCAGAAAACCTGAGACATTATTTTGCAATTGTTGTTGTTTAACAATAGTTTGCAACTATTATTTAAGGACAATTCTTTGTAATTATAAAGCACAACATGAACAAGTGGAATCTAGACAAAAGCTAAAACAGTTTGTTCAAAGTGTCAGTATATGAACAAAACATGTAGCTAGTATGCGCAAAAAGAATGTCTGTTGACCTCCCAGCAACGTGACTCCTGTAGTTACAAACATAAGCAGACGCATGTAAAGAGCTACTCTTAGATGAACTATATGAAATTATGTGCAATCAGATCTCTGTAACTAGCATGAGAAAGTGAGCCTGGCAGTATGATGTCCACCGGTGTTTCCACCATTGAATCATCGATGCCCACAGACCATGTGTCTTATTTCCCACCACGAAAAGAGTGTGAGCGATTATCTCAATCAGTTCGACCACCATGTGAGCTGTCGTGCTTGCTTCTCTGTATCCCCCGCAATGGTGATCATCCTCATCTTGCTGGGCTCCTTGCTGATGTATAGACTTGCATGAGCAACTTTGCATATGAATTTTGAGTGACACCCGTGTTTGCCGATGATGAGAGGAACAATGTCTTAGCCGACATTGATCTGGATTGTGGTCATCAAGTTGATGCTTGGATAATGCACCCATCCATAGAGTTAATATCAGGTCCCCTAACAACTTGTCCTATGTCGGTTCACAGTTGAGCTTTGGGTATTGCAACAGGCTGCACTTCAAACAAGGCAAGGTCCACATATGTGTACAAATCTACAGGTAGTGCAACAACCTTTCTTTCAAACTCTTCATCCCCCAGCTACCTTTTTGCATCGTACTCCTTAGCAAGAGACTGTATGCAATGTTATCGATAGCGGATAGCGTCGCGTAGCGGTGAGGCATCACTAAGACTATTTCGGGTTATTGCAGCAAAATAGCGATAAAAAACGTAAAGTCAGATAGCAATTTAATTTAGATATGTATAAATACTAAAAAAATTAAAAAAAAATCTAAAAAATCTAAAAGTACATATTGGATGATTTAAGGAGATCCTAAACATGAAATAGACATGTAACCATCACTTAATACCGAAGATGACTGGAGGAGTCAAAAAATTGTCTTCGAGAAGAAGAGCTTAGCGGTGACAAGACTGTCCTAAGAGGAGCTCACAGTGAAGGAGGTGAGAGGAAATATCAAGGTAGGTGCTAGAGGCTATGAGAGGTAGCGGGAGTATGCTAAAAATCACTGGAGACGATGGAATGCAATGATCAAAGGTTGAGTTTAATTTTAAAAAAATAAGCCTCAGACCGTTTTTAAATAGCAATCAAAAAGCAAATTTCGAATGCAATCACTCACTATTTACCGTTATGACACACTATTAGCCGTTTTTGTGAACAAACATTCTGTAATATGTCACCGCTATTGCGCGATAGCGTAGCGGGCGATAGCGTCGCGGGAAGGGACCGCTAACGCTATTAGCGCCGCTATTACGGGGCTATTTACCGCTATTTATAACAGTGACTGTATGTAGCGTGGTGGTTCCTCCTCATCAAGGCCGATTAGATTTTTTTGTTCCGCTTCCACCTCCAGTTGCATAGTGTTCGTTACGACCTTCATGTTCACGAAGCTATGGCTTTTCAGGACCAATGTCTTTACTCTTTCCATGGTTTTCCACTTCAACTCTGTAGAGGAAAAGCCCAAAGATAAACTTGAGTACTACATGGCATTGAGATGCCAAATTAGGCTATAAACTGGCAGAAAAGCAATCAATATCTATCAATGTTCATATAAATATAGTACTAATATATTAAACTGGCAATCTATTATGAGTAAAACTCAGACAACCCCATTCAAATTCCAATAGAAACACAGGCCTAACTAACAGAATTCAAGATGTGAGGTTATAAGTTAAGCAAAGTGATGCTAACATCAGCTATCAACAAGGGCGAATTCAGAAAGCAGGTAGGAAGCAAAGCAAGTGTTATCAATGACATTTTCTAATAAAGCAGAGTGGCATAAGAAGCAAATAACAGACAAATTCAGGTACAAGGATCCAAAGTATATTATATATTATAGACGGCAATAAAACATATATCCAAACACAACTGCCATTACTAATTTGAAGATAAAGTTTATATTACCTGTAGCAATCCAATTTTCCTGGCAACTGATTTATGCTATTGTTGGAAATTTGTCGTCTAACTTCTAACTACACAGGACATAATAAGAAGGATAAAACTCATTAGACCCACAGTTCGAATTTCTCATAAAAAGAACAAAACTGAAACTCATTGGACCAGTATTTAGTATTACACCTCCACACCTCAAAACAGATACCATACTAACCCAACGAAAATAACGAAAGAAACCCAGCACATACTCAACATCAACAGTTCAAAATACTGCACAACAAAGAGAAATTTAACCTGTATCCATCAACTAGATGATTAACTCTTTCCAAAAAGGAGCTACTCTTCTGGAGCTAATCATCTACTTTAAATTCACAAGAAAGAACCAAAAAAGACATTTAGGAAATCATTCTTTCCCCATTTTCGTAAGAAATGATGTTTAAACAAAAGAATAAGGAAAAAATTAGCGTCTTTCAGTAATCACAATTCTCAAAGGCAAAATTCCAAGAAAAATTAGCCCTATTCAGAATATGCTCTTTGATGACAATAACCCAAAGCTCTGCTCACGAACAATAAGGGATGAAAATGTAAGTTCAACTCATATCAGAACTCCTCACTATAAAACAAAAAGTAAATAGTACAAAATTAACAAAACTACCCAAATCATGAAATGGGTATACCAAAAGTTTGAAGAAGAGCAAACCTGCTCAAATTCCTCTATCGAATGGAGCTCTCGTCGTAGATTTCTCAACCATCTTCTTGGAGGAAACACTAAGTGAGGAAGGGGTGGTTGGTGGCTTCGCCCTCAAACTTGCGGTGGTTGGTGTTTCAACAGCTCAAGCCCCCAATTTCGGTAACCGAGCACTCTGATATTGAACAATTAGGAAATTGATGGATCCTTGGATTTTATCAACTTGAGGCATACAGAATGAGCAAGGTCATGGGAGTTGATGGAAATACCAATATGATTGGGGCCAGAGGCGGGAGGAGGAACGGAGAGTGGGAAGGAATGGGAGTGGTGGAGGTGGGAGGAGTCGTAGCAAGAGAGAACCTGCTCGCGGAGGTGGATGCTACTGTAGAGGTACTCGGCAGCAGGAACGTTTGGGCTGCTGAATAGGGGCGATCGAAGAGGTGGTCAGTTGATTTTCTCTCGAGCTGAACTCATCATAGAGAGGAATTTTTGAGGAAGTAGTTAGAAGAGTGGAAGAGTGAATTGTGTCAAGCTTGATTTGCTCTCAAATTGAAAGGGGATAAAAGGGGTTAACAAGAGGAGGAAGAAAGGGGAACGTTGTCAATGGCTCTTAGGGGTAAGCAAACAGTCAGTTGGTTCGGTTTTCGGTCAAAATTTGACCAACCGAACCGAACCGCTTGTTATTCAGAACTAAACCGAACTGCTCCATGTCGGTTCGGTGCGGTTCGGTTCAGTTTGTTTGGTTCTTACTTGGGTATGACACATTCAAATGTTATAAAAAACTTAAACACGCTTAATTTATTCATTGTACAACTTTTTCTTTTGCTCTGTTCATAACTTATTTAGGTACTAACATGTAAGGATTTCGCAAAAAAAAAAAACCACTAATCAAGATGAAAAGAACAAAGAAAGAGTATCAGAAGTAGAACCTGCTGAGAAAACTTGACAATGTTGAGATACTTGACAATTCATATCTAGAGCATCAAAGAGAATGATTCAATTGCCGAGCTTTCCAACTTATAACAAAGAATGAGTCCCAAGCAATATTTAAGCATCTGAAAGTAGAATACTGAAAGGATTGAGCACAAAACTGAAACTATTTTTAAACTCTTTTTGAATCGTAATAAATAAATAAATGTATAATGTCAATTACCAGTTATAAGTACAACATATGTAGTAGAAGTTCTACTACTTAATTTTGTTTTTTATTAAGCTTTGTAATATCACGAGCAGGTGCTCTTTTTGCAATGAATCTTTGAACTGAACCTTCTCTGGATAACCTGAAATAGTGCACAAAGAAAGCAATTTTTCACTTGAGAAATATATAAGACTTGGAGATAGTTACGTAAATACAAAATTTTCAAAATAAAATCAAATACTTACCTGAGAAATTAACACGGTCTTGACTGATATATGTAGGACAAACTGTTGGACAACACAGCACATGTAAATCTTTTGATCATTCAGAAGCAAAAGTAGGATATTTTCATGGTTTTAATCCACCGAAATTAAGATACAGGGAAAAAATGTCATGAAATGCGAGAGTAAATGTGTACTGAAGAACACAAAGCAAACTAAACTCCCAATCGCAAAGAACAGAGTAGAAATCACAAGCAACAACCAAATAGAGAACAAATCGTCATCTGTAATTCTGTATAAAGCTTTGAATAAACTTGAGTTATTATCATTATGTAACAAAATACTGAATCCATCTGCTAAATATGTAGAACATAAAAAATAAAATAATCCCTGAACTGAGCCTTTTGTTCTCAATTTGTGAGGGGTACTAGCACTGTGAGACTTCCCTTAATTCCCTTAATTCCACCATAATAACCCTAAAATTGTTCATAACTGAGAATAAATCAAAGGACTTTTTTAGTTGTTAGTGATAGAAGTATTCCTCAATAATAATCATTTATGAATCAAAATTAATTTCAATACAGTTTACTAACATGCAACGAGAACTAAATCAATCTTAATTCAAAAATAAAATAAAAACTAGGGTTTCAGTTGATACCTCTACTGTGGGTGTCTCCAAAATACGAGATGGGTCTGGACTCTGGAGAAGATGGTTCAGTGATGATGAAGAAAGAAATAGAGGAAGAGAGTCGTTAGGGTTTCAGAGTTGTTTTTGATCGAACAAGTTCCAGACGGCGACGATGATGAAGACTGAAGTCTGAAGAGACGGTGTGTCGGCGCCGGCAAAGAGGCGGCGAGTCGGCGCCGGCAAAGAGGCAGCGAGTCAGCGGCGAAGGTGATGGGTAGGGCTGTTTGGGAGTTTGGTTCCTGGGGAGCGTGTGAGAAAACTCAGAAAAGAGATGGATCTGAACGAAGCGGGTTTCCTAAATTGGGTATGGGTTTAGCTAGCGGGTACGGGTCACGAAACATAGTTTGGTGGATGCGGTCGGTTCGGACAGTTCGGGTTGAAAACATTTTCAACCAGAACCGAACCGCGCTATTAATAAAACTACCTTGAATTGTTAATTTTTGACCGGTTTGATTGTTTTTTTCAGTTTAAACCGAATCATGCTCAGCCCTAATGGGTCTTCCGCTCAGCCTGGAGGGCAGATTCAAAATTTCCTCCTTTTAAAAAAGTTTGGGCTGGGCTTCGATTTCTGACAGACTGTTGGGCTTTAGATACAATGTTGCTGAGTGGGTTCCTAAGTCGGTTGAGGGGTGTTCATGCGGGCCCCACTCAAGTAGGAGAAACAGAGACAAAATGAGCAGGTGATCGAAGCAGCCTCTTTTAGGGTCTGTTCGGTTATTTCCTAAAAACCAAGAAATGGAAATGGAAAAGGTGAAAATCTAAAAAAGTACTATTTCCTCCATTTTCATCCCTAAAACTCACCCACAACATCCAATAAAATATTATTTTCATCCAACAACTCATTCACATCATCTAATAAAATATTATTTTCATCTAACCACTCATCCATCACATCTAATAAAATATTATTTTCATCTAACAACTCTTCCATCACATCTAATAAAATATTATTTTTATCCAAACATCACTCAACTCATATCTTCTCATCATTTCAAATCACTCATATCATCCAATAAAATATTATAACAATTCACCTCATCTCATTAACATTTCATTTCTTTGTTTTCATCCCCAAAAGTTGTGAAAACACTTTTCTTAAGTGTGGGTCACACCACCCAATAATACAATGACAACTCATCTCATCTCATTTCATTTCTTATTTTTAAGAATGAACCAAACAAAAGAAATCAACAAACTACAGGAAATAAGTTTCTTATAATTCATTTTCTTATTTTTTTCGCCAACCAAACAACATCAAAACTAGTTTTCTTAAAAAATCACTCACATCATCCAATAATAATGTGACAACTAACATCATTTCATCTCCATTTCTTTGATTTTCTTCTTTTTTTTAGCAAACCAAACACTCCCAAAACAATTTTTCTTAGAAATAGTTTTCTATTTCTTTGATTTCCCATTTTTTTAAGGCAAACGAAGTATGATGATACAAATAAAAAAAATAAAAAAAACTTTATACCAATCTATACTACTTTATAAAGGGCAACGTTAGGGCAACATAATGTGGAAGGACGAACGGTAGAAAATTCCACAAAATTTCTTCTTTGATGGTGTGGTATACATGCAATATTTGAGGGTAGTATGGGAAACGGAAATGTGAAAAAACGTCATTGTCAACGACATCACATCCACATGACTTTTGATATTGTCACTCTCAATTTTCAACTAACCTTTTTCGTACGGAAACCAATAGTGAGATCATATAAGAATCACCTACATTTTTTAATTGCGTTAATTTAAAAACTCCCCTCCGCTACGGGGTGGCGTCCGAAAAATCCCCGCTTAGCTTATTTAACTCTAGAAAACCCCCTTGATTATAGAGTTGTTGTACATAACCCCTTCACTTCCAAATTATTATCTATCCCCTTTAACTTTTCTCACTTAACCCTCTAAACTAATATAATTTAAATCTAAATGTTGAGTTAGCTATTGTCTTTAAAGGTTGAGTTAGCTCTTGTCTTTATAACAACTCATTTAGCACATTTTTATAACTAAATATATCTTATGATATAGTATAAGTACTACACTCTTTGTTTCACACACTTACAATAAATTTTCATCTTTTTGTGTGTGCATATAGCAATGTCTTTCTCGTGTTCATGAGTTTTGTGGTTCACTTTTTGGTCTTTATGCTATTTTCTATACAGATTTTCTGTGTAAACCTGTGTATATCTCTCCCGTACACACGCGCGCGCATAGAGGAAAACTCTTGTCAACTTAAGTTGATAAGAGGCAATGTCCACCAAAGTTTCTAACCATTGGATTAAGTTCTAAGATTAAGATTTTCTTTAGATGATGTGGCATGAATTAATTGTACGAGGGGTATTTTCGGAAAAATAAAGCTAAACAAAATAGGAAATCTAATTATTATGATTCTGTAGCATACAAAAAAACTATATCATCACCGCCAGAAAACAAATTAAGAGACGACAAGAATGAAGCTTTTTCCTTCAACATTAATTCTCTTCTTCTCCTTCAGCCTCCTCTCAGCTGTATTTCCCAGAGCCCTGCCTCCTCCCCCTCCGCAACTCCACCCCCGGCACCGGTCTTTTAGTTATCACCACCTGCACCGGCTCTAGTGGCCCCCGCGTCGGTTCCAACGTCTGCAGCTAGCATCCCCAACGGCCTCAGTGACGACTCTGTCGTCGTAGAGTCATCGTTGTCTTCTATGTCTCCTACATCGCTCTCCCTGGGACTGGAACCTGCGGCGTCCAGCCTTGATGGGTCGAGCGCCGATGTGTCCCGAGTTAGCGTTGGATTTGCTGTGATGATCGCCGACGGAGTTGACGTGCTGCTGCTGTAGAGATTTTATTATTAATGTTAATCATTTCTGTAATAACTCAAAATTTTCTGCATTTTGGAGTTATCTTTCATTTGAGATTCGAGGTGGGATAGCTTGTATTATGTTATATGAACCATTTTGGTTTGCAGGAATAAGATTGTGGTTATTCTCATTTTTTTAAGATTTCTTTGGAGATGAAAAAATCCGCACACATCTTCAGTGCCCCTTTTGATCATTTGGGCCTTGGTACTGGGGTCTGTTACTCATGCAAGGAGAAAGAGCTTCAAGAAGATGAAGTTAAGCTAAGCTCTAAGACAAGCCTCATGTACAAGAAGACTGAATACAATATACACTACACTGAAGAAGGCACCTTTCTTAGCCCAGTATAAACTTTTGCAGTAATATTCTGGAGGCAATCCTTTCTTTTTCTTTTCTTCCGCCTTTGCTCTATCAATATTGTCAGCATCAACATGCTCCTTTCTGTGTTTATTCCCCCATGGTAACTTACATATCTTAAGAGCTGCAGATTCTTTAACATCCTCTAGTTCAAATTCCATACAGTCATTACACAATAGTCAAGGAAGAGCCAATAAAAAAGCGTGTTATCTCAGATGCAAAAGACTTGCAAGGAATGACAAAATAGCACCAAGTGAGAGCCAATAAAAAAGCGTGTTATCTCAGATGCAAAAGACTTGCAAGGAATGACAAAATAGCACCAAGTGTAGCAATCAAAGCTTAAATAGTTTCTTCAGAATGACAAAACACCACCAAGTGTAGCAATTAAAGCTTCTACAGAAAAAAATAAGATAAAGAGGAGCAGATTCACTCTTGTAAACTTCAACAATAAAACATTACATTATCATACTCTCTTTAAAAGTACGAGTTTAGAAAAATCTTTCTATGGTCAATATTACTCTTAACTTTTTTTTAAATATTACATTGTTATCCTAATCTATTACAATTATCCTATCTTTTTTTTAATTGGTAATTAAATGATTTATCCTATTCATAATGAGACCTAGCATGTTATTGGATAAATGAGGTACGTTTGATATAATTTAAATTCTTTACTTATTTTAGTTCATAGAGAAATCTAAACAATATATGCTAGTCATCACCTAAAAGTTTTTAGACTTTGTAAAAAAATATCCTCTAAGTTTATTAAATATATACATTAGTATGTCTATTTTCAGTAAAGATAATTGAACTTGTTTTTGAGTCGATAATTTTGCATACAGTAGATTTGATAGGTCACGTTTTATTATATTTTTATACCCTCATTATCTATTTTATTTAAATAATATGTCACTAATAATATGTTTTATCATAATTTACAGGTTAATAAAGAATTAATGAATAAAAGCTCAAAAAATAATTTATCTGATTTTTTACTATTTATTGAAGCCCAAAGAAGAGAAAAGAAGACCCAATAGAGTTTAATGACCCATAAAAAACCGGGTCAAGAGATTAATAAAAGTAAAAATCCGTTATAAACTAATTGGTCGGCCAACCGATTGGCTAATTGGTCAGTCAATTGGTCAATCGATTGGTTTGCAACAAAAATAGTTTTCTGACCAAGATTTAATCCTTGATTTCCAAGCTAAATCCAAGTGTTCTTATTCATTGCTGTAGGCTATAAATAGGGGGTAAAGGGTGTGAGGTTTAAGTGTAAAACTTTTTGTAAACTCTATTAAAAGAGGAGGGTTACTCTTAATTGAGAAGACCTTTCAAAATTATAACTTTATTATAACTAATAAACATATTTTTCAACATCTTCATATTTTCCTTTTCTTCCATTTATTTGATGATGAAGATGAAGACGAAGATGAATAAAGGAGATGGCCTTCAAGAGGCTAGAACCCTTTTAATTTATAGTGTAAGTTTTTCTTTTTCTCTTTATTTTTGCTTAGATATTTATGTTTAGGATTTTATTCTCATTTGGTGGATTAGAATTATGTATTTTTACATTTTTATTTGATAGTATAGATTTATTTTCTTGTACTTCTACTTTTGTAGTCTAGATTTATTTTTATGCTCATAGTATAGATCATCATTTGTTCGTTCTTATTCTTGCTTTTGTAGTTAGTTTTTGCTTTTCTTATATTTTATTCTTTTATACTTTTTAGTTTAGATTTTATTTCTTTATTTCCCAATATGTATAACTAAAATCTTATAGGAATTCTAGGATTGTATGAAACTAGTTTAATTTCTTTCACAATTTGTGAATTGCTCTCTTGTACTTAAAATGATCATATTTAGGATAATCAACTAGAGAACAATCAGCAGAAGAGTAATTTGATAATCTATAATTATCTTGAGTGTGATAAGTTATGCTTATGAGTTCTAGAATTAATATCTAATTGTTATTCTTTTCATGAATGTTAATTTTATTTGGATGATAATTTGATAAATTATGTTTTCTTTAAGTGGTTTGATAGTCTATGCTTAATAAATATAAAGTAAAA